TGACGTCGTTGCAAGAGTAGTCGGTTCAACGCAGCACTCAACGATGCCTCCAGATTTCCCCGACTGTTGTCCTTTGATGCAGGTGGCGCTGGAGCTGCCTCCGTGTCAACCTGGAAAAAGGAGTGCAGGCCACTTTGAGCTAAGTGACGCCCCAAAAACGACGTTTAATGGCCGCTCATATTGCAGTCGTCAAAAATCAAGTCAAAGCAGTAGTCACTAGCCTTGGCAATAGCAGCAATGCACCGACCTTCTGTGGAACATGGGCTGTTACTAAAATTGTCTAAACCTCAACTTCCAGCAATAGCTTTGAATACTACACCAAGACTTTCTGTCTTCTTCCGAACAAAGTCTCAACAAAAAGCCACATGAAACTTATCCACAAAGTGTTCCAGCTTACTCTAACCAACTTCACGCTTGAGAAGTCTTCGTTTAAAACCCCCGAATGTGAATCACGTATTTCTTATTGTAATTACTGTAGCAGTCCAACTGGAAACAGTAAAGAATAGTGTTTGCCGTGATGACAACGTGTGGTCGGCTAGAATGTGTAAACTAGACGAGCTAATGACTAAGTCCTGCTCCTGGCACATGAAAGGGAGTCGGACAATTGGGGCATTCACCCTGTACGCTGAACTTCTACGTCTACCACCCACCCACCCACTTACCCACCAAACATGCAGTCACACAACTTACAGTCAGCTAGCTAGTCACACAACTTACAATCACGAAAGGTTGCCGCGTCCCAGATAATGCTTTGAAACCATGCCGTCACAATTACATCGTCATCCCTTGTCCCACCTGCAGTCCACTACACTGCTGCCTTGGTTGCTAGACGGCATACAGTGACTCAAGGACATCAAGCAATTGCCGTTCAACCAAACATTCCCCGACAACGTTGTCTACCACTTTGTGCAGTACCTTCGAACTGTGGCCTTACACCGCATCTGAAATATTCTTTAAACCACAGATTTCGCTAATGCTGTGTCTAGGATTGTGCCACCCGCTGATCCAGTCCGCGATCATTATGCGAATTTAATAATTTATTTAGACATCCCTTAAACAACCATTTTGCAGCATCCGTCGCACGGTATATTTCTTCCTGTAGCAAACAAATTCGTCAAAGCCAGTGTCCGACTGTACCTCAAAATGGCTATATTTATGCATTAAATGACGAGAATACCAGGTGGAGTTTCTGCAGACAACCAAGAGGAGAAAATTCCAGTTGCATGTGTTTACATTTAAACACATTTGTATAGTAGATTTGCTTCACCTTGACTCAACTCGATGGCGAGTTCGCGAATCACTACCATTGTAAACATAAAGGGACCTTCTTGTAACAAATGAATTGTTCCTTCACAGCAAACCCTCCATCGATTAAAGGTAATTTACCGCTGCCCCACAGCGGCTAAAACCAAGCAGTCTTAAGTCCTTGTCATTGGCGATTGTAAACCCGAGGAGCAGGAGTTGAAAGAAACCCATTACACCATTAGGACTTTTACTACTTTAAGTAGCACACCAGATTAGGCCAAATAACTCACATTTTTGAGTTTGTCCCTATTGAAAGACCTTATTTCGTCCAAGAAGGACGAAGGAGCGGAGGTGGTAGGTTTCGGAGCACCGCTGCCACCGCCGCCAGAGGATACGATTATCTGTGTAGGAGGGGGAGGAGGAGGCGGGGGAGGAGGAGGCGGAGGAGGAGGAGGCGGGGGAGCAATGCCTTTAACTTCGCCTCTACTACTAAGAATTGATGATGGCGGCGGCGGTGGTGGTGGTGGTGGTGGAGGAACGTTGGGATATGAGGGAATCTCAGTGGGAGGAGGCGGAGGAGCGAATTTCGGTTTCGGCGGTAAAGCACGCGGCTTTGGCACCGGTTGAGTGGCCGGAGTGGCATTATGATCGAAATACGTCGTCGGTGGTAACGGCGTAGGACACCCTGGCTTATGCTCCTTCATTATCTCTGTGAACTGAAGTAAAGGGATGGTATATCCGTTATCTGATCTGACTAGACTTCAGTAATTTCTCAATGAAGATATGATCAGCTTATGGAATAAGACATTATCAAATCAGATGCAGAATAAAGGAATTTCCCCAAGCCACTTCATCTAAGTAGACCTAAAATAACCATTTGTTAAAAAATGTAGAAACCGACTTTTAGGCAAATAATATTTCGCCTATATGCAGCAAAAATTTGATGAGATATACACCGCGTCCAAAATTGTTCCTACGGAACTCACTCGTGCAGAAGGAGCATTTTATCCACTCAGGGACCATAAGAGCACAATGAAAAATTAAAAAATCGAAAAGCATGGTGAAATTTCTTTCCAGTTCTGTAATGAGTAGAGGAAAACAAAAAACGGGAGCTCCTCTAAACATTACGTTAATGGGAAGTTATCATTAAGACAGAATTCGACAGCGTAAAATGCTTTTAGTCGTGTTTTTTAACGCATGGATCATTAGTCAAACATTATCCTCAGACCAAGGACATCCTTTATTCAATTTATTGTTTTCTCTGCCACGAAACCGTTTTAAGCATACCATTTGATGGAAGTGGTTACCATAAAGCGCTTAACAAGCATATACCACATACTTGTGATACCAAATTCAGATAAGTAAATCGAGATCTTGCATTGGCGACGGTGGTAGCCAATGTAGTAAGTTAAAGAAAGACAGTTCACTTTAGAACTTGACACTACCATTTTGAAGCAGCACGCTCCCGAATGAACAATTGCTTTAAGTGGAATTATACTTGCTAACTACCAGGAAAGCATTTAGTAAATACAAATTGAAACGCACACGTGCTCCGTAAAGACCACCTTAGTAATTCTACTTTTGCCAAGGTGATGTCTAATGCGTAGACTCAAGCGATTCCCAACTTCGAAGCAGAGCACGTGACAGATATGAAGTAAGGAACGCAATAATAATGACAAGGGTATGAATTAAAGACGATTTTGAGATTTGAAAACTGAACATAACAGCTACAGTTGTCACGAAAGTTTCCAGGCAATGTTCTCGGAGAAGAAGAGATTCCAAACAAATGCGGAAGGAAACGTAGGGGAAGTATAGCGCCACTAGCTTATTAAAGAGTATGTAAGTGAATCAAAAAGAGGTGGTAAAATATTCCACATTAAGGTGAAAAAGCCCACGCTCATTGCTTCACTGCTAAACGCATAAATAGCTTTCCGATAGACAAAGTGTTATGAACTTGAAATTTGTTAAGATGAGGTGCTCACCTTCTCTACACCAACATTCTCCTTGATGAAGTTCAACGCAAACTCCTTATCAGCATCCGTTTTCACCTGCTCTTTGAGCCCACTTAAATCTAGGAAGGCTCGAAAGAGGTCATCATCCAAACCGACAGCATCGAATTGTTGTGACGCCTTGTTGAAGCCCAGATGTTGAACATGTTGAAAACCGAAGGGGGTGCTGATGAGATCCGACTTTTTATTTTTCGTCTATGAAGAAAGGAAAAAAGGTAGGTAAACAACAGTTGCAGAAATGACATTTGGACTACCTGACTCCGGTGAAACATGGCGGCTTATGTGAGTGAGAAAATGTGGTGGATTGCAAATCTCGATCCAACAAAAATAGACGCTTCATTGGCTTTGAACCGTGCACACACGCGCGCACACACACACGTACGCAGAACTACAAATGCACGCGTCTACAACGTCAGAATTAAGTCTCTGTGTGGTCAGAAAAACGAGTTAAGTTAGCAGCGAGAACTCGATTTTTCGACTGCATAAGAGACATTCAACACGAGAGCTGCAATGGGGGAAGGTGCAAACACTTGGGATGCTATTGAAAGGTTCAAGAAGAAAATCATGGGAGACAGAAGTGATGAGGCAGAAATCCAACTCACCAGTTCAACAATGATGAAGAGATATGAAGCGAAAGCCATGCACGTAAACATTATCAGGTATATTGCGTGTGTTAATAATCCGGAGAAATTGTAAAAGATGCATGAACAATCTTTTCTATGGGGGTGAGTTGGGTCAAATGCTGGCTTGACCCTAGCATGCATGCAAAAAATTATTGTTAACAGAGCGTTTATTGTGGGGGTGAAAAATGGTACTTAAGTGCAAGAGAAGTAAGAGCAAAGGTTTTAACTGTCAAAAAAATATAACACGGTTGTAGTGTTCGCTCCTATCATCACCAAACGATTTTAACAGTCTTTGGATAAATTGCGATGGAATCTCCGACTTTCCTTACGACCTCCCACATCACATTTCTCTTTCACTTGATAATAAACACCCTCCAAATAATATGATGCCGATGGATCATCTCCATCTAGGAAGAAAAGGAAAGTGTGGCCACCGAATTCCAAATTTCAAAACCGAATCGATCTCTATCGTTAGATCATAGATGATATTTTTGACAAACACGCACCAAGTATTTCGAGTAATACACAAATCTTCATCTCAATAGGACATTACCGATTGGATAGGGCAAAAAATGCATCACTCAGGTATAAAAACAGACTTGAAATCTAATCATTAAGAATTATTTTCAAAAATCAGTAGTCATCTGCATGCCGCTACTACACAGAAAGCCACATTAGTTAAACTACTGGTTTAACATATGAAGAGAGGATGAGCAAGATATCTGCTACTGGAACTGTCATAAATTGGCAAATAGGTAAAGAGAGTTGTGATTTTAGTCAAGGCATCAAATCGAATCTTGATTCAGCAGAAATGAACAATGTCTAAGGCATAAACCTCATAAATTAAGAGACGAAAATTTGAAGCAATGAGAGAAATCGGTAGACAAAACTTGGACGAATGGTGGAAGCTACAAGAAGGAATGGAAGGATCAGAGGTAATGCTGCTAGATGGGCCACCAGATGTTAATAAGCACCGCCTCCGATCTCTTAAGATGGCGAAGTTTGATTAACGCGTAAATTGTTCTTGATACTAAGGCGAGTACATGGAATTCAGTCAAATCGACTAGTATGCTAATAGTCAAAATGATAACACCACTTAATGGAGCCGTGGAGAAATGAAGGTATTCGCTTCAATTGGCAGAAACGGGAAGAACTAAGATGCCAAATTGTGTTTATTCAAAATTAACAAATTTGCTAAAAGCCGCTGGCACAGATTTTTTTCTAGGTTAGCCTCATTTTATTGCTTTTAAACAAACTCTACTTGCCCTTATTAGGCATGTCACGTGTTACCTGCATGTTCATTCACGTATAGCTAGTAGCATTAAGAGAGACGTTAAGAGGAATATAGGAGGCCTACCCTCTTCCGAATATTTCCAGCATTGTTTCTCGGCCTCAAGGTATAGGAAACGGTCACCGATGCCGGCGCAGCTGATTGATTGATGAGCTTGAGGTTAGATTGTGGCATATTAGGAACGCAGCCGCTACTGATAAATGCAACGGAGATGTCGTCCATGAACTTCATGAATTTGCCAAAAAATGCATGTGAGAATATGGTAAAAAGCCACCACCTCATCGGCCTTTGCGAAAACCAAATCTAGGCGATAGTCGGTAGCTGTGAGAGATGACAGTCATTATTGAGCGCGATGAAGCCTATCCTGATGAAGAAGAGCCGTCCAAAGAGTTGCAGCAGCTCCTCTAATTCGTAGAAATGATTGAAGAAGGAAGCAGAGTTGTCTCGATCTAGATAGCAGCTCGAGTGTGACTACGATTCCATGTCCACGACAGTTAGGTCTGCAGCACGGCGAAGGATTGAACCGCATGTTTGACCAGAAGACGCTGGTTTTGTGTAAGATTGAGCAGCCAACTGGCCGACGCTTGTGTTTCCACCATGTACGCTATGGTGATCATTGTAGCTATCAAGGGAACACAAATTTATCAATTCTGATGAAAAATGTGTAGGAGGGATCTTATTCAAGCTGACTCGTTTTAGTGAAATTCAAAAACCTCTTTGATAAAAAGTGGCGTATAGTCTTCATTGCAAATAAAAAATTCACAAGTAAAATCTAAACTTAATGAGATTAACACCACGTTAAGACTTGTTTTGACGAAACTCATTCGTGCAGTAGGAGTGCTTCACCCCGTCAGGAACCGAATGTGCACAACGAAGCTCCAAAACAACTCAAAAATTGATACATACCTGTAAAATTCTTTTCCAGATCCAAGACGAGTGGTAGTAAAGAAAAACAAGGACTGTCCTAGCCATTACGCCAATTAAAAATAATCAGTAAGACAGAATTCACCAGTGTAAAATGAATTTCACTATTTTGACGCATAGGTTATCGGTCACAAACTATCCTCATAGCGCAGACATTCAACATTCGATTCATTGTTTTAAGCTCCACAAAGCTATTAGCAACATCCGACATAGTGGTGCTAAAACACATGTCTGTCACACATTTGTGCCGCCAAGTATACAAATCAGGATATCGCATTCATGACTCCAGTAGCTAACGCGTTAGGTGAGGTCTGATCATTCCTCCATAAAATTTGACAATACCACCTCGAAATGACACACATTTGCTAATGATTAATCGCCTTGAATGGAGTTACACCCGCTAAGTGCCAGATAAGATGCGACCAAATATAAAAAACCCCGTTCTCTCCAAGTTTACTTTTCTGCGTCACAAAAGAATCCACTAATCAAAGTGACATCATGCCTGATCATATATTCACATTCAGACTGCCCCCTTTAAATCAAACCCAACCGCTAAGAACACTACTTATTCTGCATTCATTGAGGTAATGTCTGGTACGTAGACACAAGCAGTTCCCAACTTTGAATTAGGCCATGTGACAGACGCGAAGTGAAGGCTATAACAACAAAAACGGAGATATAAAACAAAAGTAGTTTTGAGACTTGATAACGGAATATAGGAGTCATGCTCATATCACGGAAGGTTCTAGGCAACGTTCCCGGGGATAACCCAGATGCCAAACAAATGTGGAAGCGACTATAGGATAAGCAGAGCGCAAACCGCTCACCAAAGTGTGGGAATGTATCAAGTAATAAAAGGCATAACAATATTTGACGTGATGGTAGAAAACAACACACCTATTGCGTTTGCTACAAAACATACAAATGACTTCTCAGTAGGCATAGACTACCAAAGTGAATTTCATTAGAATGCGTTACCCACCTTCTCCATGCCAACTTTCTCCTTCACGTTGAGCAGCTCAAGCTCCTTATTAGCTCCCGTTTTAACCTCTTCGCTGGGTTCATTCAACTCAAACATGGCTCAAGGGAGGTTGCCGTTCGAACCATCGGCATCAGATTGTTGTGAGTGCCTGCTAGGAGTCAGGTACTGAACACGTTGGAAGCCACGGGCTTTTGATGACGTCTAACCTCTTCTGTTTCGTCTGTGAAGAAGGAAAAAGTAGGTAAATGGTGGGTGAAGAAGTGACCTGTGGATTACCAGACTCTAAAGAAAGAACAATTTATGTGATTAAGCAATGGAAAGGTGTAAAGTCGCACGTGTCCATCCGCCGAAAATAGCCAATTCCAACGGCGTTGAGCTGTGTACGCACACACACGCCCGCAGGAAAACACCAATCCTAAAATACCGGCAGTCATACTTCAATCTCCTACCATGTGGTATGACAATAAACTCAAGCATTCATTCGAGCATACCAACCCAAGGCTAGAAAAACAAAAAAACGCGCATTTTTACCTAATGAGGAAACGGCATCCACCTGACAATTGCTGACAAAAATAAATAAACTATTTCTAACACGCAAAACTTTAACCGCCACTGCTGCAGCAATCAAACGTATTGTCCTGCAGTTGATCTTCTCTGGGAAGCAAATAACACGATGACAGTCGAACAGAAATAAAGGCCTTTTCGTACTATCACTACTTTGTTTGGAAAATAAGTGAACGTAGTAATAGCAAACACAGATACAGATAAGATAAATTGGCAGTATTTACTGCAGAGTAGTCTACTCACAAACGAGTAACGTAACAATGCAACAATGAACACTAAAAATTTGCAAGAAATCAGTGCTAAGTGAAGTAATTGGTACTAGAATAGATCATATTGGAACAAATTACTGTGAATCAGGGGTCATGTTTAAACTAATGGAAAGATACTACTCAAGAGATGGCCTCAGTTCACCAAATCTCAAAAACTTTAACCTTTTTCATACACCTACACGTTCCCATGATGTATGTGTGCATACAACTGATATATTTATGTGTCTGTGGTAAGAGAAGCTAATATGGCGGTTCAGCTGTGATAAATTCGGGGGTTATGATTAGCCTAATCACATCGGGTCTATTTAGATCCAGTCTCCTGCGTAAATCTAGGGTCCTATAAAGGTCCTGCGATTAAAATTAGCATATTCAGAAAGTTGATAAGGAGTAAAATTGTGAATAACACGCTGTTATGAGAAGTCGACTTCAGTAAGCCAAAATTTAGGAAGTTGTAGTGCAATTGGCAGCTGATGCAAACCATTCATAATCCAATTTTAGGCCTAGCTAAAACTACAAAATTTCTGCACGTAATTAATGATTCGCACCAAGGCATTTAAAACAAATGGCAGCATTCAGCAGTTCACATTGCCTGAACGCGCATCGTTTAGATGAAATATTGATTTCCCACCAGGAGTTCGTTAAAAGGCATAAATCATGACTGTCAAGAAGCAACTATGACACATTTCAGAATGGTCTAGGGTAAATACTGAACTTAAGTGTTTGTATTGAAAAAAAGGTGGTGGTGAAGGATTTATTTTAAAAAGTTGTTGAAGTCATGATCCATTACTATGTTACTTAACAGGTATTTAGGTCCATTGTATGTATTAGTAATACCTTAAGTACTCTCTTAATGCCTTTTCATGATTTTACGTTTACTCGAGGCTTTGCCATTGCTCGTCTGCCATGCGGGTAGGTGTTTGGGCCAAGCTAGTAGCCCCACAGAGCTTCCATACAGCAGCACCACATATCCGACTTTAATGTTATGGTATATTTTATATTAGAAGAAAATGTGCGGAGCTGCAAATGCGCTGGTATTTGTTTGAGCATGCACCCAGTTCCCGCATACGCATGCATGGACAGACACGCGGCGCATCCGGCACACTTACCTCCACAACCTAGTTTGATACACTTGGAATAGGCAAAAAAAGTAAAGAAAAAAATTTTAATTCTAAAAGCATGGCTAGTAATCACAGATTAACACGATTTAAAGGGGTACGTATATTATTTCATCCTTGACTAGTCAGTTTCACCGACGTGTTTAGTCCACTCTAATCTCCTGTTACCTAAAAAGTGTAATTCTGCCACCATTGTAATTTATTTATTGCAGAACTCCTAACCAAACGCCTATAAATGACAAATTTTTCCAAGTATGCTATTTTTAAGCCCCTTGCTAAACTACTCCCAAATATTTAAACCAGGGTTTGTTTAAGCTTTTCAACAAAACAAATATTCTGCGGGCACTAATTTTAAATCATTTCTATAAGTTAATGCGCAAATGGATAAAATTGAGACAAATTTTCCCCTAGCAGAAAATGCATTGAGCGACTTGACACCAAAAGACTCTAAATTTTTGTTGAGTGATAAGTTCATTAACGTTGCAAAACGAATCCTTGACACGCTATATATATTTAAGAAAGAGCCACTGTCAACGTCTTTCAGGAGAATCGTTGGAGATAAGTTGTTATCGCAGTTAACAACCGTGCAGAATCTTGGGAATGCACTATCAATTCTGCTTCATGAGGTTATTCGAATTTCTCCCAATTTTAAGGAGCCGGTTGCAATCCTTCCTGCATATAAATCGGCTGCATTTTTACAAGGAGCAATTTTAAACTACTCCGACATTTCTTCTATATTTGCCTCTGAGTTATTAAAAAACAGGCGGTACATTCATTGTGTAAAGCTGATTTTGGAGCACTTAGGGCCGGTTCACTCTCAGTTAACTGCAAATCAGGTAAGGTCATTTCAGCGCACAAATGGCAAATCAGTCAACACTTCATTTCTTAAAATGTAGTTTGTGCAGTGTGTACAATCTTCTTAAATACTGCGGAGAAGAGGCACGCGCCATATTTTCTGTCGAGGGATATACAGCTCTCATTATGCAGTACTATGAGAGTTCGATTCCTGATATAAAGGTGCACTTTGATTGCTTATGTAAAGTACATGAGCTCTATTTCCTTGTTTGGCCAACGATCTTCACTTATTAAAAGTTTTGCTGTTTTACGGCACCATTTTAATATTCATTTTTCAACACATTTTCTGTTTGCATAAAATAAGTGAAACAAGCAGATGTCAGTTTAATTAAGAAAACGAGCTTTTATCAAAGTCTGAATGTTTGCCATGTATGTTTTAACATTTCAGTCCATCTCCTGTCTTATTCTTGCCTACCTGGTGACGGATGATCAATTCGGTCGATATATAAAGGATGAATCCATTCAGTTCATCATAAACAATATTGAGAATAACTTCAGACATCAGAAAGGGCCTCGGAGGTCTTTTGAAACCTCTGAACTTTGTCTGGGTAACCGTCTTATATTCAAATGTGATATCACTTTCCTGATATTTTGACCTGAATAGTAATTTATCTAGCACGTTGCGAACTACACTATACTTGAAAACCAGTTTTGAACTCGTGGTAGATTGATCTATTGAAACAGGATAGGTTTGAGACAAAACAGTATCATTTTGAACCGTTTACAATGGTTTTTACAATCGTCCAAGGTAGAACAAGTTTTCGCGGACGTTAAGATCATTTTGGACACATGTGGATTCTTTTAAAGTTGGCAGTCACTAGAAAATTGTCCTAGTGAAATCTTTAGTCAGACCTTATTATTTAAAATGTGGCCTGTATGACGGAGAAAATGAACCGAGCACAAGCTAACTTCTTTGCATTGGATGGAAAGATAGTTATTTTAAAATTCTCGCAAGCTATTAAAAATCAAATGCGAGTTTGTTTAAACCTCAAATAGTGAGTCTTGAATATCATCTCAAGAATGGCATATGTGACTTAATTATCCTGGGGCAGCCTACTTTACTTCAATCTCTGTTGTAAACAGTACTTCGTCTTGGTATGCTGGACGCACTAACCTTGAGGATTTTCTAGCATTCGTAAAAGCCGTTGTTGTCATTCCCACTGAAAGACTCCTCTCTTAAGGGTCTGTAGCATAATACAGTTTATACATTAATCGAAAGTGTTGCGTGCTGTTTGGATGTCCACAGGAATGACAGCCGAGATTCTAAGCTGAGGTACATACAACCGGCGGTCTTTGAAGCATTTTTACTACACGAATGCCTTCTTGATGTGTGTCCAAATAGTCCATTACCATAACGTACCGTGCTTGGAGTCACCTGTAGGTAATAAGCAAATATCCTCCAATTAGGATTTTGTATGCGCACGCATTCATCCTCACTCAAGCACTCAAAACCAGTTGTCTGCTAAGTCATCCTGATAAGCCGTTTGTGGACTGACTCACGAAGGTGACCTAAACCTTAGTACTTCGTGTTGTTTGGTACTGCTGTAGTGGTGCACAACTTCATGTCCTGAGTGTAAATCTCAAAATCACTGATTGACTTGAACTTTCTTTGTATGAAAGTCCCAAAATCAATTGAATCCATAGTTGATACTGCAAATGAGTTTAGTTACTTCCCCCAAAATCTTTGTTAAGCATTGCGAGAGATGGCGAAGAATGACACTTCCATTAGTCGCATACTGCAGTGTGGTGGTATCCAAGCTCTGGGAAGTGTTCTGGCCAAGGGAACCTCGAGAGAGAAGTGTGCCGCCGCCCTGGCCCTCCTCTCCCTCGCCCTCCATGAGTCGACGACGGCGACCGCACGGACTCAGATCCACTCCACTTTGGCTAGCGATATCAACGCCCAGTTGAGTACGCTGCGCAGCCAAATGCCCGTGTCCATCAGTGCGGAGGGGCGACGAGGCGCGATCGAAGACATGGTGGAGGACTACAAGAGCTTCAAGAGCTGGATCCTGGAGAGGGGCAACTTACTGCCAGAGGTGAAGGCCATTTCACCGGTGGATAGGAGGATTAAAACAGCGCTCTGGATGCAAAGCATCTTTCAAAGGCTACAATGGGAGATTCATGCTGATGGTGGGCCCTAAGTCCCTGTGGTGTAAAATATATCCACTTTTATAGTCGTTTCACAGAAGCTTCTAGCGTTTTTTATTTTTTAAACTTAATTTAGTAACATGTTACGCTTATAGTAATGCATTTTATTGTTTGTTTTCAAAGCAATTTTGTCACAATTTACAAACGCATACTTTTGATGTGAAAGTAATTCAAAGGCCTAACTTATGTGTACTGTTTGGGACGGTTTTAGTTGATACTGGAGAAAAGGTGGCTGAAGTGCAAGATTAGTGACTCGGCTCGACCCTTTAAAGACGGGTTTGCTATTCAGTTCAACCCGCAATCGCAGTTTGTGGAATTTCAACTTTGAATAGTGTCCACTGATATTATGATCTACCAAAGTTAAAACGCTGATTGTGAGCGAAAGGAATTTTCTTTGACGCTTTTTTAGGATCTAAATTTTCCAATAAGAGGTTCCACTAGTTTGAAAGAGAAGATTTTTTTGTTTTTACAATGTACGGTATGGCATTAATCTGCCTCATTGGGGTGCCAAAAAAGATCATGTCAATTTAAATATAGCTCACCATAGCAAATTGCTGTAACTTGTAGAGGACTCCTTAGATGTAGCTGTCTATATGCGTAGCTGTCTGCATGGTACTCTTCCATTTGCTTTCCTCCATTGTCTTACCAAGTTCAAATATCTAGTCTCGAAAGGTTTGTCGCACCTGATGCCTTAGATCCCAACGTGTCTGCTCTATGACCAAGTTAAAATCAGCTCCTAAATTGCAGAGGCTCCTTTTTTTCATCGTACTGCACAGCAATTGGAGAAGACTGGGAACCCACCGTCTAGAAAGTCTAAATACTTCCTCATTCTAAAGATGGCTTAATCAAGAATGTCCCTTTCCTGTGTAAGCATGGGTATGAAGTTTTCCATATTGCCGTTGGTATGACAGTGGGAGATTAATGAGAATAGCTAAACCATTGGTGCACCTACACACATGACACTCCTTTCCTAGATAATGTCATGAATCAACAGATGGTAAAGAATAAGCCATAGAACCTTTTATTTGTTCGTCCGTCTTATGAGTGGGAAAAATTTATTTGTCCCCTCCTCAAGTATGACATACTATGGCCGGTTTAAAGTCATCATTAAATATTGCCACTTACTACTGGATTATTGTCGAATTACAAATATTTCTAAAATTATCATCTAGATTTATCGGTCCACAGAATAACTAGACACCTTAGCCAACTCAGATCTTGATGCTCATTCTCCAACTAGACGAACTCCACGATCGGCAAAGGATGGGCAAAGTGGAGGAGAAGGAACGAGCGCACGTCATGCTGAGCTACAGCTATGTGCAGAAAAACATCGCACACAAGATCGCACGTGCAGTTAGCGAGTCCGGATATCGGGTAAGTTGGCGGATGGACCTTGAGGAATTGAGTTATACGTTTGTTGTGGTGCATGAGGTGCCCGCCAAGTGAAGCATGAGAGTTAATGCAAAGAGTTGACCCCTACTTATATCCAAAAGTAGGTAAGGAGCGCTTGTTACCCTGTCTAGTTAAATGAATAAATGATACTGCTTCAGATGCATTTTTTATGCCTTTTATTCCCCGTTGATAAGATCTACTGGTGTGACATCCTCTTGCGTAACACTAATGTAGATTTGGCTAGACACAGAACACATGCACACCGAGCCCGACATAATGGACGCAATAGCAATTGCGGTAAAACGAGCTTTTGCAGTATGCATCCTCTACTCAGAAGCCTACAAACGCTGTCCCAACACCAGAATGGGTTAGTAAATCGTATACCTTTCGTTATTTTGTTGCTTTACTTGATATTAACGTGATGTGCCGTCCAGCAGATCGTCATTCATTACAAGCGCTGGATATCACATTCGTTTCAAAAATGGAAGTATGGTTTTAATCACTTCTGCTAACGTCAACGTTTAGGTGATCGTGTATTTTTTGGTATCAGGAGAAATGCAAAATATAGCAAATGAAATTAGCGCTTTGTCAGGTAGCCTCAAATTCGGTTAGTTCATTTAACAGTAAACCCATTTAACCGGTAATGAATTGGAATTATGAGTATATTAACAAATAACAGTTTCAGAAAACCATTTCTTGCTGTCTTCATGGTGAACCACTCAAGTCG